GTTATCACAAAGATTTTCAACATTGAAACCACATTTCTCGACACTATTTAAAGGTAGGCTCTAATTTGATTGTTCAGAGCCTGGGCTCTATACAAACGGCACCCTTCTATAATTTGTAGAACAAATTAAAAATAAAATACTATGAAGTGTCAGATCAAAAGATCAAACAGTCCGTGGCTCACATGATCTAAATTGGACGGCTAGATGGGTGGGAAGTATATATCTTGTACACAGTACGAGAAGTATAGAAACATTTCCCATATTGTACATGAGAAGATAAAGTATTGAAATCTGATTTGATCTTGAATTGAATTTTGCCCCTTCCTCTCTCTCTCAGGTTAGAAACTCTGACAAAATGAGCTCATCACTTCCAAAGAAAACCAGGAATAATCCTAGTTGCCAAAACCAGAAGGATCACCCATTATAAATATATATGAGACCACGAATAATCCTAGGTTAGAAACTCTGGCAAAATGAGCTCATCACTTCCATAGAAAACCAGGAGTAATCCTAGTTGCCAAAACCAGAAGGATCACCCATTATAAATATATATGAGACCACGAACAATCCTAGTTGCACAGATCTGGATCTCTCTCTCATCCTAAACATGAAGTCCTTGGCCGTCCCTTTGCTTCTTGTGCTCCTACTCGTGCTCCAAAACGGTAACACATAATCTCAAGGCCACAACTCTACAATATATTGCCATTGTATGGTATATGGTACACCAAGGGATATCCACCCTCCATTCATGATGATGAGCGGGGGAGATTAGCCCCAGTTTCCATCAACTAAGGAGCATTCAATCTCCACCGTCCGTCTGTCAGCTACATATGGCTTACCATATATTATACACCGTTGATGCTAGTATACTTGATGCATATAGCATACTTTCTTAGTTTCAATTCAATTGGAACATACTATTCCCTCTTAAACTTTAGTTACGTAAGTTCCGCATCTTATACGATTCATGTTAGAAGGGAAGAAAATGTATGACAATAATTTTGTATGGTATTTTAATTTTAAAATTCTTTTCTTTTCCAACTTGTTGGATTGGATTTTGAAGACATTTACGCTACACTTAGGATAAACTAAAAAAAAATAAAAAATGAGACGGAAAAATGAATTAACCAAAACATTCTTTAATGTATTGTGGATATTTTCATTAATTTATTTTTTATAACCCATTTTATATTTATTTTAGATCAGCTTGATTGACAAGTGTGGATGCTCAAAATTTCTAATTAGTTTAATTTTGATAGTAATAAATAGAAAATACTAAACACAAAGGATGATGGTTCATTTTCTTCCCTTTTTAATCTTAGCCAAAATGCAACTTCTCCAAAGTGAAATATTTGACGGAAAACGATTTTATAGAGCTGCAACCAGTAAATCTTAAGAATGTATTTATTTTATTTTGAAGTGCAGCCAAAGTCATAAGGATCCGATCAGTGGAATCGGCAATCGGGAACTTGTCCGATCCGCTCTAAGGAGCTTGAATTGACGAAGGCTGATAAAAACTTGCATTTTACTGATCAAAGCAGTTGCTGATTCTGCGGGGGTACCCAGTGTTGTAGAGATTTATATTTATTTCTCTGTTTTGCCAAATTTTTACATGAAATTTCCTAAGGTTGATGTTTCTTATTTTGATTGGATTGAATCTCTTCTTGCCAGAATCGCGCAAAAAACAAAACATAACATTGACACCCAATAATCTTGCCAATCTTGATGAATTTTCTCCTATACATGTTTCTTATTTTGATCCGACTGAATCTTTTCTTGCCAAAAAAAGTGTCATAAAAATTAATGAAAGTGTCAAAAAAAGTGTCATAGATATAACAGGTGTATTATAAATTAATGAAACAACATTCAAAAACCATATTAAGGCCATTTATTTGACCCGATTTTTTAAATAGACACTCTTTTCGTTCTAATGAACGATAATAAAAAAGTAAAGTTTAAAAATAGATAAAGTTTATATAAAGATGCTACCTTTTAACGTAGAACTACGGATGCCCCTCAAAAATCCATCGGAAAAGGTAATTTTTATGTTGAAAAACCATTTGATTGATCATCTCGAAATTGAGATGTATGACTATGAAAAATAAAAAGATTTTAAGTCTCAAAAATAGTTTATTTTACAACATATTATCTATACCGTCTATTTTCAAGATTTTCATATGTTTATAGATCTACATGATTTTAAGTTTTTTATAAGATTAAAATTTTATAATTAGATATAAAAATAGATTTTGAGATAATCCTAAAAAAATTTCACATCAAAATTATATACCATTATAAAATTTGAAGGTACACCTTATCTCTATACATGCATCCGTATGCAAATTGCACCTTTTAAAAACACATCTAACAAAATATTTTCTAAAACAATTAATATAGGCCGTCCATTTTAATGCAATGCTTAGATCAACACCTTCGAAGGATCTTTTCTTTCCTAATTTCTCCAATATTGCATCACTTTCATCTATTGGATTTCAATCCAATGACTGAAAGTGATTCACCTCCTTATACAAAAAAAAAAAAAAATGGTCTCATAGATGAAATTCTGTAATAACAATTTCCTCATGTTTATGTCAGGTGCCACGATCTCTGCAGCCCGAAACAAGGTCTGCATTGAATTTTTCGATGTCGGAAAGGGAACTTGTAACCATATCCAGTGCAAGGCCGTGTGCCGTAAGGAGGTCCAAGGGTGGAGTGGACCATGCCCAGAGAATCTGCACCTGTGCGAGTGCCAATACATATGCTGATGCATCATCTATTATTAAGAAATTATGAATAAATGAATCAAAATAAATGAGACTATAAATTCTTCTTATTGAGGTACTGGCCATGCTCGCCATTTTTGAAACGTTGATTATGTTGTTGTAATGGTGATTTACGATGTAGGCCAATCTCCACTGTCTGATAGTTTTGGGAAACTTTAGTTTGATCGTGACCGAAGCAATCTCTACTAGGGGATTTTTTTGCAGTTTTCATTTTACTAGGTGACCCCAGTTAGTTGAGAAAAAACTTAGATGATGATGATTTCAATATAATAGATGCTTCCCCACTTCTGCTCAAGCAATCAATCCAATAGAAAAAAGGTTAATCAGTTTTTGTATGTGCTTTGAAAGTTTGATGTCAAATTATTGCATAGGGCTACAAAATCGTGTTCCATTCAGGATTCATTAAGTGAATGATACAAAAGTTCAAAATGGATTAACTCTCCAACTTGAACCAATAATACAAGGATTATGAAGTAAAAAAGGCAGAGAAGCACAAGCTTCGGTCTTAAGGAAAGCCAAAAGTTCCACACCAGTCTAGAGTTTTGTTCTCATTTTCTTTATGGGTTCAATGCCTTCTTCCGTGCTTTTGAATTTTTTATCTGATTTACTGTTATACACAGGAAGAAGCATCATCAATCAAGCAAAAAAAGAAATAAGGAAATGTATAAATAAATAAAAATAAATGGACGAGTTTTTGATAAGCCAGGGCTTTGTGAATCTTTTTTTCTTTTTTGGGTATATCAAATGGGAGTACAAGCCCCTACCAATTTTTTGAAATAGTTAGTAGTTTTCAAATGCGTAAGTACGAAAGAAACCTATACCAGTAATTGAGACTCAGGTGGTACTACCCCCACGACCTCAACCCCACTCCCAGGTCATGAAACTTGAGAGGGCCTCACCTCAAAATCGTGTACTAGAAATTAGATGCAACACTAGAGCACCATGTGATGTTCTACAGATCAATTTCTGCCCCTAGCTGTGGATTTTGGAACTACAAAAAATAGTGCAAATCTTACAGACCTTTAAAGACTTGAAGCGGACAATCTAGAAAAAATATTACAAGAAAGAACATTTTTAGAGCTTAAAATCGAATTTTTTAGATCCATGGTTGTTGAGGTGTAGATAAATAATATGCAAAATTTATGGCGCTGGAGCCACGTTTTCCAACAAGGTTTAGGGTGTTCGATGCATCAAGCCATGACTTCACAAAATACGTTTCCTCAATAAAAAGCAAAAATATAATCTAACGGTTTGCAAAAGTAATTGTCAGAAAGAAAGATATTGCCATGATAGAATAAAATTTATTGTGTTCTTAATAAGAGACAATGATATACGAAAAATTCATAATATGAAATTATCTCAAATGGCTGTATTCTTAATAGTGCATTGCATTATAAAATAAAGGAAATACATATACATCTGGGTGTAATCCATTTAGATAGAAGAAAGATAAATAACAAAAAAGGCATTTAATAGCAAAGATGGAGAAACTCTTGAATAAACATCTCTTTCTTTTTTATACCATTATTGAATAAAACATTAAAACAACCAACGAACATCATTTTGCTTATCTAAAATAAAGACAAGTAATAGCATGAATACTAACATATCTAGAGAACATAACTAGAATATGAATGATAAATAAATAATGATAGCTAATACAGCATAAAATAAAAACATGGAATTCACTAGAAAGGTGTACATCCAGCTGTAATTCAATAGAAACATGGAATTCACTAGAAGGTGTACACCCCCTTGGTATTTGGCAATGATTTATGATGAGATTGTATACACTTGCAGGGATATGGATGTTTGCTGGATACAAATCTCGAGGATGTCCAACGAGCTCGCCGACCTCCTGCCGAAGGATGGGGCGAGGGCCCATGAAGAAGTGCACACCTGGCCCACTTCCGATTAAGACCTAAGAAGAATTACTTAGAAGGAAAACTCACTGTATTCAGGAATCTTATTTAGCCCACTTTTATTATTCCACTGTAATAAAAGTGGACTATTCTATAACCCCAGTTTTTTGTGAACCCATTGTAAACTTTATAAGGGGACTATTCTATAACCCCATTTTTTGTATAGGGTCCTTCGACCTATTCTTTTTTACCGATTAGTCCCGCCTAGAGAGCACTCTCGGACTAACCTCCAACTTGTACTTCTTTCCATTCAGCAATACAAATGTTAACATTTATCAGAAAAAAAATGTGTACATTCAACATAATCGATCATTCTTGTACATAAAGTTCCAACTTTGCACATACTAAACCACCAACTTAGACAGAGTTTTCTGGCTGCAAATGCAGAACATGTAGATCACATTACGAACCAAAAGCCATCTTTTCGATAAGATATTGTAAGGCCCAATTTGGACAGTTCAGATATATTGATTGACCATAGCGCCCAGCTACAATCCTAAACCACTTATAATTATGTAATAATTCATATGATAACCCAATCAAATATCTTACATCATTATTATGACAATTGTAAGGCCCCGTTTGTGTTTTGGTTGCCTAGACCACTTATAAGCATGTAATAATTCATATGATAACCCAATCAAAAATCTTAGATGATTATTATGACAACAAAATCATGAGGCCCCATCTGAATGTTTTGGTTGTCATATCCAAGGGAAATCTTTAGTTGGCTTTTTGGGCAACGGTGATAAGAGGTAAGACACAGGGGTCATAACAAGTAGAACAGTATCCACTTTTTTGCTGATAGAGAAAAAAGGTATTTTCTTTTGTATCCATACGTGCAAATGCCCCTTTTCACTGGCTCTAATAAGAGGGTTTCCAAAAGTTCAAAACCTCTGCAGATGGTGGTGTGCCAAGCTGCACACTACCCTCTCAGGCACAACTACCGTGAAGTGAAATCTCTACGGCCAAAAAAGTGAGGCCTAAGATAATCTACACAACAACCTATAACCCTCATACAATCGTCGATCCTTGTTCTTTGAATTCAATAGATGTCTTTGATTGATTTCTCTCAAAAAAAAAAAAAAATAGATGTCTTTGATTAATCTTAACTGTTTATCACACACTAATCCATTTATTTTTTATTGTGTTGATTAAATATTTTGCCTCTGCCCACAAGCAAACATTTAATGAACAAAATCTAAGTAGGTAGAAACAATGTCAAGTTTCTAATCTCAAATAATGCCTCAAATCAATATTGATCTCAACAAAATATGAACGCTATAAGCAACTAAATGTCAATGAATATAATGGCACCATAACTTTGAGCTATTTTGGCATAACAGACATGAAATTGAACATTTCAACTCATTATTCCAAAATTGTTACACAAGTGCTGCATACGATATCTTGGACAACCACTAGAGGCAATGGATATCAAAGAAACAAAAGTAGAATCAGCTGATTTTCCAACAGACAATAGGTTAAAGGCCATTCTGATTCTAAACCAGTATTCATAAAATGGAAAAACAGAGGAGGACCATTCAAAAGCAAAAATCTTGAAACAAAGGTCTCAATTTTATAGTTCCAAAAAAGGTTATGCGGAAGATAGAAAACCTTTGATTCAACGATCAAAAAGCAAGGAAGCCTCCATGGAACCCATGATCATAGAATCATTTCTGGGTTACCCTTGCTTTCTTCATAGATCTGGCGCAAGTAATCTGCCTCTTCTCCAAAACACCCCACAAATTTTTGCAAGAATATCCTCTCCGACAACAAACAAACTGATGATAATTTCACATCCTTCTTGAGCAACTTCTTCGATCTCAAAGCATGCAAAACATTGTTCCTAGGTATCACCCTTCCCCCCAAGCTATAACCAAAAATTTTTGGATTCATATTCAAATGGAACAAAACATCCTTTTGTTTCTTAACAAAATACTCCATTGTTTCCTTCAACTTCTTCACCGAGAGACACATTGTATAAGGTGCCCTCCGAAATATTGAAAATACATGATCTTCCGAGCACCCAAAACTCTTAAAAATGTCAACTTTTGCCTGCCATGTCTCGTTATTCATCGAGCTCAAAGCAAGAAGAGCATGAGCAAACATCAAAGAATTCGGATTAAAGCCCATCTCTATAATTTTCTCACAATTTTCCTTAATTCTTTTGGGGTTTTGAGAAAGCAACCTAGGCTGGAATATTGTAAATTGTTGCAGTTGTGAGGGACCAACTCCATAGCTCTCCATGCATCTCATATTGGGTAGGATTCTTTCCTCAATGGGAAATGAAAGTATCCAATTATTTCTCAGAACTCTAAGAACATTTTCATTGGATTTCAAATAACTTTTGAGGAATTCGATGATTGGGGAGATCCTCTTCTCTGCACTGTAATAGAAGATGAATGCACGTGGAGATAGAAAGTCCCCGAGATCAGGACCAGAGAGACCCAAATCTTCGAGCATTTCAAACTTGGGTTTTAGGGTTTTCTCAACATCGGCCACAAGAATCCTGGGGCTCTTCGTTACAATGGAACAGATATGGGCATCATGAAAACCAGAGTCTTTGAGGAATTTTAGCACACATATCGGATTTTTGGTGGGTTTATTGAGGCCCAACCGGGAAGAAGAGGCAACGGCCAAGGCTGATTCTTTAGAGAGGCCAAGTGAGTCCATTAGAAGATTAACAATCGAAGAAGAAGTAGAAGAAGGAGAAGCACTTAAGAGGAGTCCATCTCTAGTGAGAGAAGGAGACGGAGTGAGAAGAGAGGTTTTTGTGGAATAGAGTTCAAAGGAAGAAGAGAAAGAAGGAAAAGGAATGAGAAGGGAAAATACATAGTGGGGTTTCAAGACAGAGAGTGCCTGGAGTTTTGCCAAAGCCATTACTTCGAAGACGTTATAGAAACACCATTGACGATGGAGAGAGAGATTTGTAACTGGTAAAGGAAAGGAAACAGTGGAGCTGGTAGAGAGAAAGAGATCTTGAAGGGTTACAATATCACAATTTTAGAGAGAGAGAGAGAAACATACCGGGAAAGGGAGGAGCATGGGCCGTTTCTCACTCCTCTTCTGCAAATACGCCGCTCCCTCCGTCCATCGGGAAACAAGGGTTTTTGATCCAAGTTGAAACAAGTGGGAGAGGGACAAAGTTTGTTACTTAAGAATTGAACCCGAATTTTCCTAGAATTTGCGGATGTGCCCTTCACTTTAAAGTTAACTTGTCACCCATGCCTCGAGCACTGTTTAAAAACTTGGTTACGTGGATTGAAAATCGTTGATCCAAATTGTAGATCACCAATTCAGATTGAAATTTTTTATTATATTGTTTTGTACACAAAGAGCTTTTCTTTTTTTTTTTTGTATTTAGATGTCATAATCATTCCTACTTATTAGATATCAAATTGGATTGTTTGGAATGAGTCATGAAATCTGAAATTTTTTTTTTTTTTATAATTTTACGCCTATTCAATAACACTCTTACAGCCACAAAAATGATCGTATACTCTATATACAAAAGATAAATGGTCTCTTTATAGACAATTCAACATTATATTAATGTGTTTAGTTCTTTTTTGAAAAAATATTAAAAGGCATTGGTGGTTAGTGTAGTTGAATGCTGCTCAGGGGGTTCATAGATCAAATTACATGAGATGTACCCATTTAAATAGAAAGCATATAATTTTTTTTTTTTTTTGAGGCTTAGATCTTGGTTTTAGGACTTAGTGTTATTATTATTATTAATATTATTATTTTATTTTTTTTGAATGTTCGCTTTTACTTTCATTTTAAGTGCGAGATGTACATCGAGCTATATATAGAAGAAAAGGCCAAAAAAAAGAAGAAGAATGAAAACCAGATAATGAAAACCACGCAACCCCGCCTCTGAAGGCATCCTTGCTTGGCATTGGGATACCGTGAGAGAGAGGTGCCTCTAACAAATAAGGTGGGGAAAAAGAATAGGGAAGGGTACCAAAATTCTCATGGAAAGAATAGGAAACAAAAGAGAAGAGAATTGAAAATGACCTTAGCTAAATGTCCTCCTGATATTCTAGCCAACTCATCAGCATGATGGTTGCTTTATCTGGGAAACATGCTGATAACTGTAATACCCTCTAGATCCATTCGAATTTTATCTATATTAAGTCTCCATCTCCTAAGGGGTTGAAGAGGGGCGGGAGTATCATGGAATTACATTTGTCGAGTCTCCTTCTATAACCACCTTCTTATAGTAACGGTCCGGTCTGTGTACTCCTTGTCTAACTGATTGGAGCTCCTTGTCTAACTGATTGGAGCTCATCATCATTTTCTGTGCAGGGAGAAAGAGCACCACTAAGTGTTACCTATATAATGATCATGGTCTCAAAGCTAACGACGCCTTAGAATCCTTATATGTGACAATATCATCGAGAAGACAAATTCTTTTTCCAACTAATTGGGATCGGTTATACAATCTGATTTCCTCATTTTTTTCACACAATACAAATGTTTGTAATGATCATCCTTCTCTTTGTAAGTTGTTCCACAATCAAGCATCTGTCTCTGGCAACAACCCACAAGAAGGCCTTCACTCCATTCGGAACATAGAAGGTCCACACTTTATTGATCCCGGGGAGAAGTCTAAGATAGCCGTCACAAGCCATATGTTTGTAAAGAGACCCCCCTGAAAAATTTCCCCCGGGATCAAGGTCCCAAATAACGGCATCCGTGGTAATACAATTGCTTTAGAAGGACAGTGTGGTGATTCTAGCACGTCTCTTAAAATTTTATCTGTGACAGTCCTCCTAAGTGGGGTGTTTTGCGGGAGGAATCAAATATATAATTTACTTCTTGAGGAGTATACTATACTAAAAGTAGTTTTGACATGCTTGGATTTTCCTTTCCTTTGGAGAAAAATGTGAGAGAGATTTTCTCAAATACTATGTCTTGATGAGAGCTTCAAGCAATTTGTATAGAGAGTAGAGATGCCCTTTCATGAATTGGAATGTTTATGTCACTGAATAAAAAGATTTCTTAATTGCACCCCTCTAAGAACTTGAAAAACTAATATCTTAAGATTGAATAGAAACGTCCAATTTTTCAAAGGTAAGATCTAAGTGTTAGGAAAATTAAATTTCATTTTTTTCATTAATAATCATCTTGTGATTCTAAGATGGTTACCAAATTTCAGATTGAAAAAATCCTCTCGAGTAGGTCATTTAACCAAGGGAATAGATGTACATTATGGTCCCGAAAGAGCATAGTATATGCGCTCATACATTAAAAACATGCAACTGTTCATGCATTCAAGTTGCCATCAGTCACACTGGTTTGTTTTTTAACTTTAATTATGATCGCGTTTAACAGTTGTTCTATGCCTATCACAACTATAACCCTGATAGCTGCGATCAATGTCATAGGGCGAAGAGCAAAATGTGCCTAGTGTTCACGCATATACTTCACATGTTTCTTATAGACCGTATCTTTCTTTTGTTTCCATTGATACAACAGTAGATAAATTTTCTCTATGCTTAACTCTTTCCAATTTGTGAATGTAGGACTAAATCTCCAACTCCGCCATGGCCAGCCAATCCGAACACCAGATAAAAGAATAGGGTTGTGTTAGATGAGCAGCTAATGTAAAATTCACTGCATTTTTTCTTGAGGCCGACTCCAAATATTGAGATAAAATTTCGATGATGATGACGATGACTAAAACGCCATCTCCTGCAGCATATGACAAGCATTACTTTTTACAAAACTATGACTTTTGATGAAATATTATTTTATAGTATTTTTCTTATAAAATGCTAACTTACACCTTCTTGGACAGCAAGATATGTAAAATACACATTACGTTAGATCATGTCATGGACACAAGGCTCCCCATTTCATTATCTAGCATTTTCAATCCAGACCTATTCCCATCGCATTGAAGAAAAGAAAGGTAAACCCATTTCTAGGCCCATGCTTTCTCTTTTCTTTCTTTTTTTAAAGAAAATTTGGCCCATGCTTTTCCCTTCAACTAAACTGAAAACACTAAAAATTGCTTGGATTTAACTAGCACATTCAATCGCTTAGTGGAAGAAAGGAGAAGCGAGTTTTCTTCATTATCTTCATCACGAAATCATAAGCTACATTGAACTCAATTTGTGACAGAGATGGCGGATCTAGAGAGAGAAATAGTGTGTTTTTTCACGGTTTAGGTGATCTACTATAGATAGAAAATAAGGGTAGAAGTGAGAGAAATGGAAGGGGGCTTTTGAAATCCATAAAATGGTCCGTCCCCATAATTTAAAAACTTGCTAACAGCCTCCGGTGGTTTAGCTCCGGCTCGGAACTGGTGGATGACCGGTTTAAAGACCCCTGGACGCCTCTAATTCTGGTCCAAATCAGTTGGTGACCAGTTTACTAGACCCCATGTAATGAAATTAAAGAGCTTTCCTAACACATGCGAGCCAATGTATTTTTTAAATGAATTAAATATCGTTTCTTAAGTACGGGAGATTTTTTTGTTTTTTCTAATATGAAATTTTAGGATCCATTTGAAAATCATTAGATAATTATTACAAAAGCATTGATTTGGCTAAAAGGTTATGAATAGTGACTTGAGGGGACTGAAAAGTTCTCGGCAGCATCTCTGCACAGTGAAAAGTTATGAATAGTATCATGAGGGGACTGAAAAGTTGTCGGCATAGTGGACAAGTGGCCTTAGTGGAGAATCTTGGACAGTAGACTGTCGGTATAGTGGACAGGTGGCTTTAGTGGAATCTTTTGATGGCGAACAGCATTCGTCGTCTTATGTTGGTGCAGTAGGACAGGTGGCAGATCGCATGACAGGTGGCAGATCGCAATCTTTGTAAGCTGGGTATTGATATGATCGGGTCGATTATTGACTATCGGGCCATTCGCCGGGCTTCTATTGCGAGAAGTCTATCTCTGGCTGGATTATTCCACAATCTTCATTTTCGACTGCGTAATCTTCATCATTTTGAGATGAGGTGGACATTGATTCTCCTTCTTCCTCAAATATCTGCAGTAATTGTTTCTTTTTTATTGCTTTGGGGTTTTGTTTTTTCATTTTATTGATATATTCAAAAAAGCTAGTTGACTTTTCTTAGCTTAATATTGTCTGGATCAAGGGACTTGTTTTTATAGACGTCCCACCATTTAATATATATTTTCTTTCCCAGTTTTGGGATATATTCCCAATCGTTTGTAAGATTATCAGATATTGCAAAATTCCACATCATTATCCAGGGAATTTGATACAAAGCTATGAAGTATAAATGGTGATCTATTTGGGGGTTTTTATTATTGTATGTAGCAAACTTATATTGGGATTTTTGTATTTTATCCGGGAGAATCTGTATTCCAGATCCCCAGATCAGGAACCAATCATGGAACCAGTTTGGAAGTGGTTCAACCACTGGCATTTTCATTTGTATAAACCAAGTATGCGAGTTATTATTATTTTGGAGGGCAAACACTTTATGCCAAGCATCCCTATATTCAGAATATTTGTAGTATTTGTTATTGAATTCTGAAGCTTGTAATTTTCTACTTCTCATTGGGTCTGATCACCATTCCTTATATGTTATTATTTTTCTTATTTGAAGCTTTGAATAGGCCACGATATTTGTATTCCTTTGGTAGAAGTGTACCAAAGTAATTGAGCCTGTTTCAAGCAGAATTGCTTCATACCATTTTCTCGTCTTATTGCCATCATCTTCTATAATTGTATCAATAAGAAAAGTGGTTTCTATGAACAATGATTTTGCTAAAGGAGGGGCTTTTATTGGACTAGGAGAAAGGACAAGTTCTTGGGCTTGTCTTTTTATTAGCTGGCTTGGGGTTCCTGGATAGGTTATCATAGGCTTATCTAGAGATGGTGAAAATGGTGGGTAACTTATTATAGGTGATCTAGAAGGAACAATTTCCATCTTATTTTTCCCTTTATTTTGACTATTAATATCCATTATTGGCTGCCTTTGGCTGTTTTTTCTATGTATATCTCTGTCCCCCCTGAAAAAATTCACGAGTTAAGAAATCATGAAGGAAGTTAGTATTGCCTTTAAGATGTTCGATATCAAAATCAAAAGAGGAGAGAATTGCTTGCCATCGGGCAAATATTTGTTTTG